TTTAAGTATCCTTGTTCTACAGGGCAATATTCTGGCAGTAGTAGTTCCAACACTTAGTGCATATACCATAAAAGACAGACAGTATCCAATTCTAAAACATATTTCCTTTGGAAAGAAGGGAGCCTCCTATATGCCAGGTTTATGAGGAGTACAAGTAGGAAAGCTTACCTTGATCCTCCTTTCCTGGTTATCTCTGAGCKGTCTGTATAGCAGCATCTGGAATATTCATAATCCCCTGCTGCAATACTTTGAGAGATTTATCGCTAAGAGTTGTAAATGTCACTTATAAAGCTTTTGCTGTATTTTTACTAAAATTGATAATTGTTGAATGTCAGAAGTACTAACTCAAAATTTATCCTTCTCTGGCTTTGTCTTCTAATGCATATCTTTGCTGTTCCTTTTTGTTCCCTTTTATACATTCTCCTGTTTGCTTCTTGTGTGAAGCTTGAGATTTGCATTTCTGTATTCTCATTGCTTTCTTTTCCTGCATGATAAAAATCCAGATATCTAATCTGTTTGATTGAGATTCCATTTTCATTGTTCAGCGCTTCATTCCTGACCTGACATAGTATGCAAGTCTTTATTTAACATCCAGCATGGGATGAGGCCCATTGCTTATTTTTACTAGACTACTCGTCTCTTCAAAGTGTATCACACGAAGTATTTCAGTCGAGCAAAAAAGTGCTTAAGCAAGTAAAGAATAATCTGTTTGAGATCTTGAATCTGGTGTGCAATGAAGGCAGACAGGTTGGCCTGGTGTGCCATAGTCCCTGCTCTTTACATCCAGTTGCTGTGGTCAAAACACTGTCTATTTTCACTCCAAATAATCCTCTTCTAAGGATTACAAAAAAGTTAATTCATTAACTTTTCTGAAACAAAGCCAAAACCAAGGTGGATTTCTCAGGGAAGAGGTGTAGGTCACCACTTTGAGCAGCATTTTGTAATTAACAACACTGACAAATTTAGATGTTAACAGATATGTGAGACTATTAACATGAGAAGGCAGACATTGTCCTTGGTATATACAAATATACAGAGATTATGAAACTCAAGCAAGAAGAATATTAAGCTGAAGTTTCTATTTCATTTTGGCTGTTCATACTCAAAGAAGGTGAGGACCTCAGTGTATTTTAGAGGTCAAAAGTTGTCTTTTTTTTCTCCAACCACTAGATCCTAGGTTTTTTTTTTCCTGTGGAAAAAAGTCTGCAAATGTACATCTAAAAAATACTTTTTATCCAAAGAGAAAAGACAACTTTTGACCAAAAAAAAAAAAAAAAAAAAAAAAAAAAAAAAAAAAAAGGAAACAGAGACATTAATTTATTTTGTATCATGTTTCATGGAGGGAAGTATGACATAAACTTTCTTCCAATCATTAGCAAAGTATGAGAGGAATCATCTTTCTGAAAGTTATTTTGTTGCTTAAAGTGAAGTTACACTTTTGTGGAGAAACTAACTTTAGGGAAAATGTGCATCATCAGTTTTGTGTAGAAGACCTGAGCAGATTCCAGAAAGAACGATTATGGTTCTTTAAATCCATAAAGTGTACTTACTGTCTTAATGAGGAGAATTACTTTTTTCTAAATTTCTCATTTCTGCTTTAGAAGAAAGCATTTCCCTCTTGTAAGTTTTTGTGGTCTAGTTAGTGCAGTTTATAGCYGTTCTCATATGCACAAAAGCATGTTTTGTGTAGTCTGGAGTACAATTTAATACTTTTGGAAGAATAASATTTTTGTGTTTGCAAACAGTTGTTGTGCAAGCAGCGGGCTACACTGCATAAAATTTTGTATTCAGTGATGTTTTTTGTTGTTTCAAATGAAAAAGAAATAGCTGCCAAGGTTCTCAAAACTGGTGTCCAAAAGTAGGTGATTACAAATTCATTTAGGAATCTAATCAGAAACATGTTAATTTGTAGAGATACTGAGAGCTTATATTTGCCTTTATCTTTTAAATAACAACTGGGGACACCTCTGTTAGATCATAACACCATTACATATATGTGTGTGTATATATATATGGTTAAGTTTGGTATGACTGTTAAAGCATAAGGCTGAGTATTTTTTTTACTCAGAATGTAAATGGATACTCTTTTCCAAGAGAAAATTCAAATGAAACTTAGATAATGCTAAAGCTTGAATTGTTACTGAAATAATATATGCATTGCTAGAAGAAAATGAAATTAAGTAAATGTTGAATTTGAAGTAGAAGTTGAATTTTGCAATTTGCAATGAGAAAAGTAATTGTATGACACTTAATGCCTAGTAATATGAAACTTCTATGATTTTATATGAAAACAGAATGAAGTTACTGATACATGCTCATGATAACTCAGACTTTTCCTTAATTCTTAGTCTTAAGGATTTCTGGCTGCCAAAATGACAGCAAGTAAATAACTGCAAAGCCATGCTTTTAAGAAAACATTATTCATTGTAGAAGACTTTATATATGTGTATCCATGTATATATAAACTTCAATTATTTCACTTACATTTCTCAGTGTATGGGAGAGTCATAAATCTTGTCAATTCTTTAATTGCAAGCTCTTCTTACTCAGGGCTTTTTGACTAGTAACTTAAGGAAATGAGAAGTGTGTAATTATTATTCATCTGTCTTCAGTTCTTTTGAATATATTAGCCAATTCCAATGATATTTGCAAGTGAGACAGAAATATCAAGAACAGTTAAGTTCACACAACTGGGAGAGAAAATAAACTCAAATTACTTGATCTTTCTGGGAAAAGCAAGCAAATTTAGAATTGGATTTTTGCAAGTCAGCTGTGTACTTTGTATATGTTCATTTTTATCTAGCTGTGCTGATCTAGTAGTGGATATCATAGGGAAAATGAGAAAGTGTGGGGGACAACTGATCTGCAGGAAAACAACCTGCTCCTGATACTCAGAAGCTTTCTGCTTTTTTATTGGGTAGACTTCTAATCTGTTTTGAGACTGTTGTTTCTCAGGGAATAGAGTTCTTTGCTTGCAACAATTCCATAATCTCTGCAAATGCACATGAACTGCCAATGCACGGTCAATCATATGCTGGATAATTTACTGGTTACAGTTAGTAGATAAAAAGGAATATCTATGTAATAAATTGGTAAAACAATTATTCACTATGTGTCCTGCTTTTTTTGAATGTAGCATAGATGGCCATTTTAGAGGGTGACTGGTATTTTCCCTAGACTGATCAGGCTAGCAAGAGGAATTGGTATTGACAAACCCGACACAAATAGGACGTTGTTCAATAGTCGATGTAAATTGTTAAATATATCAGTTTTCTGGCCCTCATATTTTTCAGAAAGCCCTTAGCTTAATAAAAAATTTATTTAAATGTCTGCATTTGATTCTTAATTTCAAGTTCATAACTTGGTTCTGCCATTTTTTTTGGTTCATGAGTAGGGATTTATGTTTTGCTGAACACTGTACCTTATTAGTGACACTTTTTTCTATTTTTTTCTCACACAGCATTTAAGCAATGTCTTTTTTTTCTGGTTTTTAAGTTTTGAAAAGGTATAAAATCAAATCATTGCAGCAATGTGGGTTCTGCATGTCTGTGGAAGTAAAAAGTTGTCACTTGTGTATGCAGAGAAATTATCCAAATTATAGATTTGTTGATCAGTAGCAAATTCCACACCCAAAGGAGCTATTTAAAAATAGGAGTGAGAAAAATGAAAATATAGGCCTAACACATTGACTTCCATATGATCCTCCCAAAAAAAGAGAAAGAAGTCGTTCTTCAAAAAATGAACTGTTCGTGTTTCTTTTTTTTACAAGACTTTTCCAACATGGAGGCAGTGACTTCAACCAATTGGTGTGGTTCATGACCACATGGTCTCATTAGCTGTTATGTTTCAGCTTCCCTAGCCTTGTAATGCAAGAAGCAAGGAGCAAAGGCCTCTCCCATCCTCAGGTGTTTTCCTGACTCTGGTTTATTTATTTATTTATTTATTTATTTATACTTAAGTAGGATTGTAGGTCATGGAGATAGACACAGATGGAGCCTTAGTTTAGATATGTGATAAGTTCTGGTCCATAGACTTGGTGGTACATGTTGTGTACCATTTTTTTCTAATAATTCTAATAATTTCTAATAATTCTAATGAATTATAGTCACCCAGTTTTGTAAATGAAGAGTCTCAGTAGACTCAATGAACTTGTTGAAGTGTATTTTGGTTTATATATGCAAGGCAAGCAAGTAATTTTGTGTTCTGCTGATCTTCTCTATGTTAACAACTGGAAGCCTTACAAAAAATACATTTTAGTGTAATAGTATGTATTTTGAAAAACTAACTAGTAGAGAATATGAGTTTATCTGCTGTAACTCTGTGTCATCTTTGGAAATGTATACCTCTTAAAACCTTCTAAAACAGAGCAGCTCTTGCATAGCTAATTTTAACTTTATGAATCTTAGTGTAACTAATTAGAAAGGAATAGGTATGAATGTTTTTAGTAGCAATATATGAACTCCCAGAATGATTGGGTTATAATTCAATCTGTTAGCTTTGCTGCCATTCATAAACTGCTCAAACCATGTGCTCTTTAAGGTTTATGAAGGCTTCAGAAATCTGCTCAGAAGCTGGAACAATGTATGTCTTCATTTTGTTTGTAAGACTAAGGATGTTTTGTAGTCCTGAAGATAGTAGTTAAATATATATTTAATGTAGAATACTAATTTTTATTACTGTTCTTCAATGAAAATGAGTTTTTCATTTATCAATTATTAYTATTAACTATTATCAATTGCATTAGGACATGCATTGTGTATATTGATACGCATAAATTGCTTAGTTTTCTTCAACCTATGTTCTGTATGTGTGACTTTCTTGCACATCTGTATTTCAAGTAAATCAAATGAGTAAAGTACATTTTGTTCAGTAAGTAATATTGTTCATGAACAAAACAGTCAGTATTATGGAACAGAGTTAAAAATATTTGTATATGTATCACAAGTATTATAAATCATAATAAGTATTATAAGGAAGCTCTTAAAATTTTCTCTCTGTAGGTTACTGAGTCAAACTATGAAGGACCATTTAGTAAGAGTGGCTAATGAAGCAGAGTTTATCCTGAGCAGACAGCGAGCAGAGGACATTCACCGGCATGCTGAATTTGAGGTGAGAAGTCTCTAAAACAAAAGCACTAGACTTAAAGTTTTAGGATTCTAAGGCTTGAATTAGGTTTTAATTATGGAATTTAAATCCTGGAAGATGCTTAGCAGTGTGTTTTGACTATTCACTATTGCAGCTAGCTTTGATGCAAGAACAGGCTGTGTGGGGTAGCTCAGAACTTGTCAGAATCTGCAAACAGTAGTTTGAGGAGGGGGGAAATTGTGCTGTACTGGTGCTCTTCCTTTCCTGGAAGCAGATATCACTGTATGGATTTAGGCTGCTTAGCACCAGAGGCAAGATGCAAGTCTGAAGGGGAGAAAAAAAAATGGAAAAAAAAATAATGCTGAAGATGAATTATAACAGCCTTGAAAAACAAGAAACTATTTTTCTCTATTTGTATGATTTGTTTGTATTTCACTTAATCTCTCTCTGAAATCTCCAATTTTGGATCTCAGCTACTTCATGTAGCTCCATTCTATGTGCATTAATTATTACTATGTTTAAATAAAAACAAACTTAAATATCACTAAATTCACTAATATTCTGCTTAAAAAGTACTTAGTCTTTCTTCTGACATGTGATACTACTTGTGGTTTTGTTTTTAGAAAGAAGCATTAAGAGATTGAAGGCACATTTGTGTTTAACGGATTTCTAAACTGTTTTTCTCTTAAATCTTAACTTGAAAAAATACTCCCCAAAGATGAAAGCATATTTGTCTTAGACAGTGCTTATGTTCTAAAGGTCATCTATGTTGGCCCCAGGATTCAAGCTGTGCGTTGTTTAATAACATATCTGCACTTCATCTAGAGCTACTTACCCCCTCGTGCAAACAGAGATRTTGTGTAAGGTACCTACAGTACCATTTTGCAGTGGTGAAATAGCAGGCATGTTTCATTTGTTACATCAAGGCTTTGGCGACAGTCCTGTGGAGATGAAAAGTGCATCTTTTTACTTCATTGCCCGATAACGGTTGGAGTGGGACATGCTTGACATCTTTAGCACTGGATTTATGCAGAAGCTCCATGCGTGACGCGGGGCTATTGATTAGATGAGCAGCTCGCTGTTCTTCTTCAGATRTAAACCATACGTGAAGGTGTGCACGTGTGTGGGGTGAATCTGTGTGAAGTGCAGGGCTGTCGTGTAAATTTGGAGTATCAATGAATGAATACAGCTTTTTAGTTGCAACTTCACTATTATCCTCATCTTTCCTTTTCCAAACTGTGCACCATTATCTCTCTAGTTATATCTATATCTATATTTTGATTTTATTCTTTCAATTTTATTCTTTCAATATATCTAGTTATATTATATGACAAATATGTCATCAGAGGGAGCTGGGCCAAATATACCAATTTTGCAATGTTCTTGAGCATCAAGCAAACCTGGTGGAACAATATTGCAGTCATTTCTACTAGGGAAGGGGCAGTGAAGCTGATGATTTTGCACTAGATGGGGAAATATGATCACTCCAACATAAGTCACTTATAACGTCAATATTTTCCTGGTGTTCCTGTAATTTATATGTACAAGACATTTTTGCAAATTTCACCCCAAGTTGCATGACAGAGCTGAAAATCCAGCAGAACAGTCACTTTATGCTGGAATTCTAACAACTGGGTGGTAGTTTCATGCTACCACCCAGGCTGCTTTCTGCAAATGACCTTGAAAAATCTGRCGATTTGCACCGTGTCTCAGAGTGATTATTTGTGCAGACTGCTGCAGAGTTGGGCCTATGAGAATAATTGGATTTGGTGCAAGGAGGGGGAGGGAATTTTCTGCTCTAATTGACTTTATTTTGTAATTTATGACAAGAGCACCAATTGCCTTGGATAGATGTCCCTTATATAAATCTCTTTGTGTATTTGCGTGTGAATATACATATTTATAGAATTCAAATATGTAAACCTGCAGGTGTTGTAGGCCTGAAGTGTTCAAGCATTATCAAGTCTCATCTTTCTAGTATAGTTTTATTCGACATTGGATGGTGCTACAAGATTTTTGACTCAAATCAATGATGCTCCATCTGTGACTGTGCAAAGTATTTCAGATGAATATTCCTCCAGCAATTCATGTTTTTAGCCTTAAGATCCAAATGAAGAATCAGGAAAATGGGGAAAAAAACATTCATAAAGCTGCACATCATGTAGGTGTAGAGGAGCAATGAGCAGCGCAACACAAATGATTTTATTAAAAAAAAAAAAAATCCAAAATGTTTGGGGAAGGATTGTGCACTGTGGGATTGAGAAGGATTGAGGAATATGGGCCACATTGGTCCAGTATTGTATCTGTAAAATGTGATTGCTGCCAACATTTAGAAACCAATCTGCCTCCTGGGTGCCCCTTTTTTCTTTTTCTTTTTTTTTTTTTTTTTTTTTTTTGTTAAGACTCTGTGGCTTTGACAGTCTATTAAGTTCCATTTTTGATTTTATTCTTTCAATTTCTCATCATCCGTAGAAATATAAAGTGTTGGTATTCTTATTGCTTGTTTCTGTTGATTAGCTGAGAATTTCACATGACTTTGCCTTTACATTTGTTATAAATCATGCTAGGCAGCTAACTTCTCTGCATGATTTCTCTTCAATAATTAAATCTAGCATTTCCAGCTGCTGTAAAATTTGTTGCCCTTTTCTGTTCAGTTATGTTTCTTCATGCGGAAAACTTTGACTTCCTCACAGTTTTAATTCTTGCTCAGTATCAATTTATAGGCCATAGTTTAGCTGTAATAAACTGAATGTTTTGCTTTATGGCTCATGCTGAAAAACTAATCTTAATGTTAATCTAAGTACTGCCTTGACAGAGGTAAGATGCAAGGCTAGGCAAGCATTCCTCTGATGCCTTGGATGTAGCTTCTTGGCAGAAAACAAAATCCAGTGGTTCTGTTAATTCATAATCCTGTGTATKCTGCAGCTTTTCTGCTTTTGGTGTCCTAAGCATGAGATGCTAGAAGGCATTATTTTAAATCAGTGGAAGTAGTGTTAGAGAACAGCAAATCAATTGTGACAGAATATTCCAATTCCATAAGTCAAAGGGAATCACTGCGAGCTCTCAAAAAAATATGAGAAGGTATTTGGTGACTTTGTAATTTCTTTAGATGATCTATATGTGGTCTATATGATCTATAGTTCTATATGTGGCAATCACAGGGGGGGAGCAAGAGAGAGGTTTTATACTTGACTGGGTCCCTATTCTTTGTCTAAATCCCTTACCAGCCCCTGTCTCCTTGTTTTTAAACATAAAAGCTTTGTTGAAGAACAAATACGCTCATGACCCTTGCGACATTCTTTACACAAAATTGTATTCATGCTTAATGGCAATGGCCTTATTTACCTGAGCAGAAAATTTTGGAATGATTTAAATTAAGTTGGTCTTCTCTGCCAGTGTGGGTTATCAGCAAAGCATCTGAAGTGAGTGTATGAAGATAACAGATGGTRCAAATTGTAGGCTGCCTGTAGTGAGCTTGACAAAGTTATAGTTCTTTCCATTGCCACTTTATCCTTTTACAATCTTTTACAAATTGTAAGTGCCCTTACACAAAAATATGCTTTTACACATTTCATTATGAGTAGATTTAACTCTTACCTCAAATTTCTCTCTCTAAATAAATGGTGCTCTTGGCATTGGGTAGGTTAGGCATTGTAGCACCATCTGTCGGTAGAAGGAGGAAAAAATTAGATGGGTTTCTAAACATTGTTCAGGATCCTATGCAATCTGTAAACTCTTCGTTAGGGTGCTCAGCATGGAATTTTTTTTCCTTTGGAAAGAAAGAATGGATATTTATGTGTTTCCTCTTTCTCTGTGCTTTAATGTAGGAAAGGAATGGAAGGAGAAGGAATCAGAACCTGCTCTGAATGGTTTAACATCTCTCTTTATACTCCACTTGAATTTTAAGTCAAAAGGCATTATAGCAATAATTTCTGAAGCTGTTTGAAATAGAAATTTTGTTTTATAACTACCCTCTCCTTTCAACCTATTTGACAAAACTGGAAGTGATATYGTCTTCATTACAGTTGCTGATTTGGGTGATTATGAGATAGATTATGTAAAGAGACATTACCAAAATGTCAAAAATAGTTTTACTCTTTGAGAGCCCTTCTGCTGTTATTTCCCCAATACTTAAATGAATATCTAATTATTAGGATATTGTAGAGCTCAGGACTCTGAAACAGGAAAAAAAAAATGGCAGTAAGCTTGAATTATTTTAACTTTGTTTAGAGTATCAAAATCCTAAGTAATTTGGATCATTAACAGAATCCACTTGGAAAAACCATATCTCTTATTCTTCTACATTAACAACTTTCTTCATCTGTTTATCTCTTATTCTTCTACATTAACAACTTTCTTCATCTGTTTCACAAATAGTACACTGATTAAACGATGTAAATTGTTTAATAAAGATGTAAGAGCATGTGTACTGGATTAGACCAAATAGTCTGATATCCTGTTTCTAGAGTTGAATAGTTCATGCTTAGGGATTGATGCAAGAATAGTGCAATAATATAGAGAACCTTCCTTAGTTCTTGTGAGTAGCAGGGATGATGTTTTAGACAAAGCTTAGCATTTTTATCTCCCATGCTGACTCTTCATAGTTTGACTTTTCCATTCTTTGCTCTTTTTTAAGCAGAGCTAGCTGCTAATTTGCCCTTAACTTCAGACTTAGGACTTCAGGAGTCCCTTTGCCATGCTTCCTCCTCCTGGTGCGGAGGCAGGTTGAACAAGGACACAGGAGCTAATGACTGAGCTGCTTTCATCCCTGATGTCCTCCAGCTCACTTGAGTGACTTCTCTCTGGTGCTGGTAGCTGGTCACTTACCAACTGTCTTCCCAAACTTCTCTACCAGTACTTCTCTGCAGCGATCCTGTCTTCCAAGAGCTTCTTTTATCCTTTGATCATCTATTAGCTGTACAGATACCTTAGCAGGTTTCTTCTCCTGGTGTGCTTAAAAAATAATTATTGCCTTTTATGTCTTTATGCAAGTGTTCTTCAAACTATTTTGGCCTGTTTCATTT